GGCAAACTTTAATTTAATTGAAAAAATAAAGCGGATTCACTACTGCGGTTTTTATGCCTCTATGACTACGTCACTTTTAGGGATACAAATTTAATTTTCAGAGGCAGTCTTGAGGATATAACATTACGTAGGGATTATAATTAAGGGCTTCCGTAACTGGCACAAAATTTATGGAATGTTGAACTAGGCCTATATTATTACTACTGGATTATTGCAGATTTTCCAGACATGTTTTGAATCACAACACAAGTTACAGGAAAAGGGGCTTTTAGAGGAAAATGTATGCAAAATAAAGAAGATGAATATATTGAACAAAGAAATGTTTTTCGACGTAAAAGACAGAAGTAAGGAAAGAAGGAACTTTTGAAATAACAACGAATGGTTTGTGGCATAATGAGGAGAACGGCTGGAATAGCGATTTGAGGCTTTCTTATAAATTTAAATAATCTCGCTCTTCATACTTGATTTCGAATAATTCAGAAAAAAAAAATCGTAACAAAATTTTGTAATGCGCATGCCCGCTAAAGGCTACTTCCCTTGAAGTACTGGGAACCTGAACGGAGGTTATATTCTCCAGTAACAATGACTAAGCGAGCGAAATTGTCTGTATCGCATTTGACAAGACGCCTCATCAACTAATCTATTTATTCGAATAAAAATTTGTAATTCCATCCATTAGTACCTATAAATTGTAAAAAAAAATCTTCACAGAAGTATTTTCATAACCTACAATTCTAGTTTTGGTGCCCAAATATTGTGATTACGTCAAGCTGGTCTTACAAATATTTCTCACCCAGCCTCTAACAGAAACGAGTATCAGGAATATTTTGGAATATTCTTGGGGGTAAATGGCAGCCGGCGCGTAGGGCTGACAATCTTGCCGCCATCTATGAGCCGATTGTCTAGAAAATGTGGGAACCTCAACATCTCACAAACCTATGAGCCTCCACGGCCTGTTACAGGAATACATTTACTTTTTTATTTTTGCTCCACGTAACGCTGCCTCTCAGAAAATTCTAGTTACTGTTAACATTCTACAAACAGAATGACTAAACGGATATTCCTCATTAATTTACGATTTCTTACAATGTATCTATTCAGGAACGCACATTAAGTGACTCTAATACACCTGTCACGTTACGAGTTCGTAAGTCTGCCATTTTGTTATTACTGTTTTTAAGGAATTTAAAAGTACGAAGTTTAGGTGGCCCAGATGACAAACTATTTATACGAAAATTCAAGATAATCACGATTTATTCAACAGCTGAAGCCATGGAATAAGTACACACACAGACACTATGGTGTTATCACTCATGACCATGCTATTCTTTAGGTGGTTATTCGCTGTCTTGTCAACGGGGAGGCCCAGTTACAGCCCCAGGGATGTCTATGTGGGGTTTGTGGTGGACAAAGTGGAAATTGAGCAGCATATGGTTGCTCATAGGGAGGTGTGCGTGAACTATAGATGGATTTTGGGTTAGATGATTGAATTTATTAATATCTTATACACACCACTCAGAACTGCAAGTGATTACAGCGCTATCGCTGTTTCCACACTTTACCGTTCACTGTTATGCAGTGTCCTCAGTCTTCACTAGTCGTATCCTGGCAACGGATTCATAACAGTCAGACTGTAACTGCAGAGGATCATTGAGTGTTCTTTGCACAGTCTAATTCATTTCATACAATTTCTTCTCAGTTATTCAGCCAACTGCCAAATTCGGAGACTCTCTCAGTTCTTATTCTAGCTGTGTGAGATCCTCGTTGCATAGCCTCGGGGCGGACTCACAGAAAACACTGTTTCCTCTATTGTTGCGTGTTGATTCACTCTTACAGTGATGTGTTTACCGCACAGTTGCGTGGCAAAGAGAACGGCTCGGAGCTACAGAAAAGCCGCTTGCAACACCTCTGCTGAGTGTGTACGGGCCATTACCTAGCAACGGCTGTTTCTCTGTCTCCACAGTTCTTGCTTTGAGCAAATACGTCACAATATTATCAGTTATTTTCAACCACCTTCCGCAGATGGTACAATGAGCCGGCTTGGGGAGTAAGTACAAAGGAACTCGCCTCACCCAACAGCAAAGAAAAAATCAATAAAATGGCGATTTCATAAAGCCACTTTCGTTCTAAAGGGAGAAAATAAGGCCTAGGAATGTAATTCCATCCTACCAGCAATAAAACTAAGTTTTCACTCGGGTCACAGTTACAAACAGGGTTCAGTATTAATGTCTGTGTTAAGTGGTCCCTTATCGCCACGGCATGGCGCGTCCTCAGGTTGCGGATGGAGGAGATGGCCTCTTGATATGGAGGGAAACTGCGGATATATTGAATCGGCAGTAGAGGTCAGCCGACCAAAGTCGCTCTACAGCTTGGGGGTTGAGCGTGGATCTAACAACTCACCGTAAAAAAGTCTGTTACGAAATGTTACTCGTACATATGAACTCGGGCTTTGGCGGTTTCTTTTGATCGACCTACGCGTAGGAAAATAGTCATGACATTTGGTACATGAAACGCAAAGCGTGTCAATAGGGGAGGTTCACTGATAACAGTTGCATGAGAAATATGTTAGAGAAGTAGAATGGGGTGGTATGGATTGGATTTATCTCACTCGTAATAGAGATCCGTGGCGGGCACTTGTGAACAAGGTAATGAACTTTGGGTTCTATAAAATGGGATTTTAAGGAGTAGTTGAGCGATTGTCAGCTTCTCAAGAAGTGCTCAGTTCCGCGCTGTTACTTATTTAGTTTAATACGAATATTAGTATCGTATTAGCGTAACAGCAGAACTGGGTAATGATATTATCACGTGTATGAGTGACTACAGACGGGGTTTGGATTGGTAATTGGATTTATTGGACACTTAAAAATCGTAACTACACGCACCAATAGCGCCACCGCCAAGTCACACGCCCTACAATTCATTACATCACGCACTACTTCTCAGTCTGCTGTGCCTTCACTAGTAGTTGTCTGGTAACGGCTTCCAACGGCGGATCTTTCTTTTACCCTGTGTTCCCAAACTGTCCTCTTTTCTCAGCTACCGAGTTCTACCAGCAACGGATCACAAGGACTGAACAGCAGTAGTCCTCTAACCAACTCACTCAATCGCTAACTATCTCCACTCCATTGTACTGCACTGCACTAACATTAACTAAACTCAACTCTGTCGGTCGAGTGATATAGCCTCCGAGAGGACCACTTCTTCCAACAGTACTTCCATTGTTGCGACCCGGTCGCTGCTTAGCAACAGCTCCAGTACTGTTTCGTATTTATGAAGCTGTTGCCTAACAATTACCATTGTCTCGTCCGTTTCCCGGTCGCTGCCCAGCAACGGGTCTATGTGCCACAATATGAAGCTTAATTTTTCTGTCAAATTTATTGAGGCTGATGCTTACCTTTCACTTCTAAGTAAACATTGTTCCCGCAAACAGAATGCTTGCATGTAGCCACAATTTTTCGCAAAACAGTATATGCTCATTAAAAATGTTTATAGATGTTTTCGGAAAATAACAAGCAGGTGTTCAAATAACCGTCACACCGCACAATACATTCAGAAACCACAACGAAATGATTCTGCTTTGTGAGAACTGACGCTCTCACGGTGGTGAATATGGTCGTTGTAATAATCTGAGAATATTAAGATATTCTACATGTTTTCACTCTCTTCGTTATGCCTATTCGCTCTCTTAGGACCTCAGCCTCATTATTCCACCTTCGCATATCTGTGCAACTTTTCTGTGCTGGGCCTACCTTTCTATCATGAAGAATGAGGCAGAATCTTCATCTGAAACGTCGACAAATATCCACCAGATTTCACGACGTCATATTCCCAAACTGTAATATTCATGGCTCTATTACGCCAGGTCGCGAGATCCTCCCTCCAAAAAATAAACTTTATCAAATGATATTTTGGATGTGTAGGACTTGCACTTCTGACGCTAAACAGAAAAGCAGTGGTAGCGAAAATATGTGCACGTTTTAGAAAAGAGGACCGAGAAAACAAAGTATGATGAATTAATGAATGACGAGTTCAGAAAAAAAAAAAACAAAACAAAACAAAAAAAACATGCTTGGGACAGAATCTCAAGGGACCTGAATATTTTTCCATTTCAGACAGGCATTATTTTCTTAGCAAACAGAAAAATAAAACAATCTGGCACACTATATAGAGTTCTATGCTTCTGTTTCGAATCACAAGCACATATTTGCACTGCACCCTTACCGAGTGCTAAACATTTAAATATTTCTCTCTTGCGTTGGTCCTTCTCTTCCTTCTATGAGCATTCCTTTATAGTGCTTTGTGAATAATTTATCAAAAGCCGAGCTTAATCATTCCTTTCTTATGATATGAATTTTCATTCTCAGTTAAACTCCAGTAGGTGGAATGGAAACAAAACCATACAAACAATAATTCAAAGCAGACTGTCTTTCGTGAAATGCTAATTCTTCTGTTCCTTTCTCATGTTAAAAAAATCCGTTTTTACAGACATGGTTCCATACGTCTCGGCTCCTCTGTTGGGATCACAGAACGTTTCCAGTCAAAGTAGGCGTGTATTGACTCATAGCCCTTTAGTTATTTTGCGAAATTCTTGGTGTAAAGATGAAATAGGTGATTGACTTCTCAAATAACAACATTAATAATGTGCTGATGATTATAACTTTAAGATTATTGTAATTCGACAGTTTCAATTTCAGTTGTTCACAGTGCCGAACGAAATGGAAGGACGATCAGGCATATGGAAGTGGTACGTGCTCGAAATGAAGTAGTCGTTATTTAATTGTAGGTATACTTTGACATTTTCCTGGAGATAGCAAACGAAATTACGAAAAGCCTCAGTAGGGATAGCTGGTAATCCGACTGAGGTTCAAAACATGTGTTTTCGAAAAGAAGTTATGACGTTATTACGGCAGGAACCAGCTCGTTGTTATAATTTTTGGAAGGGTACCAGCACTCTACCCAGACACAAACCCAGAACCAACGTCACTGAGGTGTATACTCACTCTCACTAGGTCTGTAAGCAACGATAGTCGGAATGACCAGTCCAGCTTGATCTCGTCCTGCACCAGAACGTCCTCGAGCGAGCCTCGGCTACACCACTCTAGTACCAGGGCTGGTCGGTTGGGATCCGTCAGACATCCAATCATGACGTTCAGGTTCTCGTGCCGCAAGCCGTGCATCTGTGGACAAGGACGGAAGTGGTGCAACCAGGGGCCTAAAGGATTGTATAATTAAAAATACTGCTAAAATTAATTGTAACTGCCAAAAACCCAGCTAGTTTAAAAAGCAATAAATATATATATATGAATAGAATTACCTTGATGCATTATTTTATTCAAATTTCGAAGCTCTCACTCATGTAAAGTTTATACAGTTTCTTGTTGTTTCATAGCGCTCACGATCAACTGTCCTTAGCACCCTGTCCTCAAACACCCTCAGTCTCCTTTAGGATGGACGAGTAAGATTCTCACCAATGGATATTCTCAAGGAACAGGCAAAATTACAGATTTTTAAAATTAATTTCTGTACAATTTTTAGATGGGAGATGGAAAGATACAATTTGTGACTTTAATGGCAGCAAACATTCTAATTATTAACCTGGTATGATATTTTCTTGAAATTAATTTTTAACTGTTGCTGTCTTTTCCAAACATTTTAACTTTACAGGAATTTCTAAAGATCCGTGAGGTATTTTTATATTACGATTTGGTCCTTTATTATGATTGAAAACTATGCAATATGAAACTGTCAATAAATCGAAAAATTGAGACTACTGACCTTCATGAGTGGCAATAAAATTTCTTGTTAAATATGATCGAGCTGTAACTGCTCAGAATACAGGTCAAATTGATTTTTTTATTTCGCTGATATTATTAATTGGAGTAATTTATTTCCCCTTTTCATGACCTGCGTGTTTCGGATGGTTCGAATTTGTGGCGAATATTACATTGCATTATATCTAGGCAGAACCAATATAACAGTATGAACATCTTGGAGAATCTTGGGAAGCAGTCCTGTTCCAACATAGCTGCACATGACTTTAATGGCCCATTCGTTACCCTCACAGCTTGGTGTCTTCAGGATAGAAGTAATTTCTGGGATAAGTGCATCCATGTGTTGGAATTCTATTGAGTTCTCGGACGATAAAATTTTCGCGTAGTTGTCCCGTATCGTTGGCAGTCGATCTAAGTGTTGAGGAAGCTTTGTTAAATTAAGTCAGTGGCTAATGATGGATTTGTATCAACGTTCGGCGTTTCAGGATCTCTGGATTTTGAAATAGGGACGCGGCGCAGGAACGAGTTTATAGAAGTGGCATTTTGGAACTCATAAGGAGAAGACGTGTTTCCCAGCAACTCTACTTACACATATAGATAGTCACGTCTTCTACCCTGAAGATGGAGGCGATACGTTCCTCCGAAACGTCGGTTAACACAACATATACACGGTGCCAAATCCCAGAAGACTGCTTTCTTCACTAAATCTCCTACCGATAACCGAACTGAGCTCTCAGTCTGTTGTACTCCGATGTACCCCGTTGTATTCAGATTCTCTTGACAATTCTGAACTCTCTATTACAATTTTCTAATCCCCCTAGATACAAACATACTCTCGTTATAGAGCCTCTGGTCGGACTCTATAGACAACACGTGTAACGTGTCAGAATGCGTGGCATGGGCCATATAGAAAACATCTATTCTATTGTCAGTATTCGTGTCTACTGGCCCGTTGCCCAGCACCGGATATGGCGCGGACCACATAGAAAAACTTCTTCCAATACACTTTATAGTGTTGCGTGCGCGTATTTCAGGCATTGCCTAGAAACGTGTCTACATGTCACAATATATATGTAATTTGAAACATCTTGTCCCAAAAATTGAACTGAAATCCTGTCTAAAGAATATCCCCTTCCAATTTAGAAATGATAAACTCATTACGAGCCGGTCATGGTAGCCGAGCGGTCTAAGGCGTGCACTGTTTTCGCTCGCTCGGAAGCCGGGATCGTGGGTTCGAATCCCACTCAGGGAATGGATATTTGTGTGCGTTCTTCTGTGTTTGTATACAGGTAGAGTCCTTGCGACCGTATGTCTAAGATTTAGAAAAATCGAAGTGAACGGAGAAGTTCATGGAGGTAGGCCTAGGCCCACTGGGGCTGTAGTACCAAGGAAAAAAAAAAACTTTACGACATACTCATGGTGTTAATTGTACAAGTGTAACATAATTATTGTGTCACGAGGATCCAGTAAATTTACTGAATTTAAAGTGGTGCATTGTGGCTTCTGTTGGAATGGCTACGCTCATCCTTGCCCGTACAGCGACGCATGAGTAAGAATCTTATCTCTCCGAACACTGGGATGTCGACTGGCTTCATTTGTTCCACTTACGACACCCACAAAACCTATCCTAATTATCAGTTTGGGTATAAGCTCCACGTCCTTGTAGCGCACATGATATTTCCGGGCCAGCAGTAGTAGGCGTGCTTTGACTCACTCCGTGTCGACTCAAAGCAGGCGTCGGATCCAGGAGATGTCACGTTGTCACAAGTTCCAGCTACCAGTGCAGCATTACACTGCTTCATGAATTTCCACAGATGACTCAAAAACACTGCATAGATTCGGGGGCTCTTGCGGAAAGATTTGTCCTCTGTCCGTACATGAAAACACTCCTTATTTGCATCATAATTCCTACATAAATCATAGGAAAATTAACGGAGTAAAACTTTTTTTTATGGAGACTATCTCAAAGGACTCAATTTCGTTTAAAACAATTCAGTCTCTTCATTTTTTATGAAAGGAAATTACACAATATAAGTTCATTGCATACAGGGTGTTTCACGACTTTAGGGCATAACTGCAGGAGGTGATTTCCTAGGTCTTTGTGATCAAAAAGTTCACATAAACATGTGTCGGATTTTGGACGGTTACGGAGTTATGACCGTTTTAAACTCAGAATAGAAGGTAACGATTACTGACAATAAACGGAACAAAACAATAAACCAGCATAATACATGATACATTTAAAGTATTAATATAAAGTTAACTTCGTGAAATTACTTTTAATTCGAATTTATTGGTGCTTAAAGTTGATTTTCGAAAATGCCACCGCCGGCTGCAACACAGGCTGCCGCTCGGTTGTGAACCGCGCCGGACATACCAACCCACCACGCCTTAGGTACCTCTCAAGTGTCGAGATAACGAGAACGCTGTGTCTGTAGCTGGCTAAAAATAGCGACCCGCCAGCTGACAGACGCGGTTCACACGAGGGCGTGTACGGGAATGAAAAAACGGTCATAAATCCGTAACCGTCCAAAATCGGACACATGTTTATTTGAACTTTTTTGATCACAAAGACATAGGAAATCACCTCTTGCAATTATGCCCTAAAGTCGTGAAACACCCTGTATATGCATTTATGATACAGAAATGCATGACACACATATAGCCATACGTTATTCTGTTAATTGACAGTATTCTACATATTTTTAGTTTAACTTTTTTTACCAACTTTTATATTCTGTAGGATTCGCGTTTCTTACAGAGTAGCGTAGCCGGCAGGTCATGGGATCGAATCCCGAAGAGGTGGATTTTTTTTCAATTTACCTAATCCTAGAGAGAATATAAAAATGTCTACCAAAGAGAGTCTAGTTAATTATGAACCGAAGAAGCATAAGCCATGGTTCGATGTAGGATGCTCAAAATTATTAGATCAAAGAAAACAGGCCAAATTGCAGTGGTTACAGGATCCAAGCGAGTTAAATGGGGATAATCTAAACAATATAGGACGTGAAATCAGCAGGCATTTCAGGAACAAAAAGAGGAATATCAAAAAGACAAAAGAAATTAGCTTGCAATGAACAATAAGAACAAGAACATTAGAGACCTGTGTAGAGGAATGAATGGCTTTAAGAGGGGTTACCAGCCTAGCTGTAACTTATTGAAGGATGAGAATGGTGATCTGCTTGCAGATTCACAGAACATTTTGGATAGGTGGAGGAACTACTTCTCTCAGTTATTGAATGTACATAGGGTCAGTGTTGTTAGGCAGACAGAAATGCATACACCGAAGCCATTAGTACATAAGCTTAGCCCTTTGAGTTTGAAAGTGCTATTGCAAAATTGAAACGGTATGAATCTCCAGGTAGTGATCAAATTCTGGCAGAACTTATTCAAGCAGGAGGTGAAATATTACGTTCTAAGATCCACAATCTAATTACTTCTATTTGGCATAAGGCAAAATTGCCTGATCAGTGAAAGGAGTCTATTATTGTACCAGTTCACAAGAAGGGTGATAAAACTGACTGTAGTAATTATCGGGGGATATCACTGCTATCAACTTGATATAAAATTTTGTCCAATATTCTTCTTTCATGGTTAAGTCCATATATAGATGAAATTATTGGGGATCATCAGTGTGGGTTTCGACGTAAGAGATCAACTACAGATCAAATATTTTGCATTCGTCAGATATTGGAGAAAAAATGGGAGTAGGATGAGACAGTACATTAACTATTCATAGACGTCAAGAAAGCCTATGATTCAATTAGGAGGGAAGTATTGTACACTATTCTAATAGAGTTTGGGATACCCATGAAACTAGTTAGGCTCATTAAAATGTGTTTAAACGAAACGTATAGTAAAGTCCGTGTAGGTAAACAGTTGTCTGATAAATTTCCTATCCGGAATGGTCTAAAACAAGGAGATGCTTTATCGCCACTGCTTCTCAGCTTTTCTTTAGAATATG